CCCCAAAACCCCAAAACCCCAAAACCCCAAAACCCCTCTGTTTGATATCAAAAATGAAATAATATTAAAAAATTATACAACAGCTTTTGCTTCTTTTCTCCAGGTACTTGTCTTTAAGGGCTTCCTCTTCATACTCTGGAGGAGTTTTTCCTAAGTCTTTAAAGTCCTTCAATTTTCATAATCTCAGCTCTTCAGGATCATCTTGGTTGACTTCCGTAGATATTTTCATTTCTAAATCATTAATAAAATTGTTACCCTTCATAAACTCTTTTATTGGTTCAGAAATATCAATGGTGAAAGAAAAGTTATTATGATCCATTTCTGCTCTTATAGTGATGCCTCAAAGTTCTTCTTTACCACACTTTATAGCTCTAGCGTAAAGATCTTCACTGTGATGAGGCTTTATAACCTTGTCATTCCTACCGTGGATTAAGTAGAAGGGGCAATTTAGCTTTTTAATAAAGTTAATAGACCGAAACCTCTCCTTAACCAATCATGGGCTTCAGCATCATATATCCTTTGCAACCTTATTTAATCTTGGTATATGCACTCATTAAGACCAAAAGTCCAGGCTTATTGGCAGCAGCAGTTTGAATTGCAGCTCCAGTTCCAAGAGACCTTCCAAAGATAATGATGTCTTTATCATCATACCCGAATTCTTTAGTTAAGAATTCATATAACCTCATTGATCGTTGGAGGATTTCTTTTGAGCTTACTTTTTGTTGATATCAGACTCCATATCCCGGATATTCAACCCCAATAACATGGCATTTAAATGCTACTGAAAGGCGCCTCATCATTTCTCCACAGCCTCAGAGGTCCTCTGCGTTACCATGAAGGTAAATTATGATCTTACTTGACCTATAAAAGTCTTTCAGGTTAATTTTTAAAAAGTTAATTTGTATAATCCTTTGTCATTAATTACAATTATTTGAATCCATTCTTAAGCCAAAGTCAAATATTTCATATAGCTGAGTGTACTTACCCTTCTTCTAGCTCGTATGGAATGTAAAAGCATGGGAATGTTTTCTTGTCTCTCTCCTTTAGTTCTTCAACAACCGACTCTGGGTGGACCTCTGGGGTATTCTTACTCATCTCAAATGTAGAGTTATAATTCCTTTTATCAATAGGGACGAATATGAGTGAGCCATCTTGTCTGAAGTCACCTTCTCCAAAGTAGAAGGGCCTTGGCGCAGGGAAAACAATGCAGTTAAGATTCATTTAAGCTTGTACTAAATTATTATAAAATGTATCAGCTATTAAATGGGGTTTTGGGGTTTTGGGGTTTTGGGGTTTTGGGGTTTTGGGGTTTTGGGG